TCAATTTTCAATGCTAGGGAATAAAATATGATTAAATTTGGGATGGGATGTGATAGGTTATGATGAATTTGGATGCCCTAGGTCTTGTTTCTTATGTTTTCAATCTATTTTCATGTGTTAAATTTGATGCTTAATAATTTTCAGTTTAATTCAAATTTTCATTCCACAAAGCTTCTCAATTAGATTTGTTAAAATTTCTGTGGGAAGATATTTGTAATTAATTATTATATTATTATTTCATCGTATAGTTGTGAGCACTAATTTCGAGATTAATGAGGTTAATTTGTGTTATTTTTGGAAAAGAAGATACTTTAGATATTTAAACAGTTAGATCTTAATTTTTTTTATTTTTAAACAAATATCTAGTAATTAAAGGTTTTTTTTAATTAGCACCCCATATTAATATTTAATAATAATGAACCCATAAAATTTAGGTTTTAACTCAAAAACAATTGTCCTCCTCTAACCCTTCTGAGTTAATTTAGCTCGATATTATTAAAGAATGAATTTAGAATAATTTTTTTCTTAATGTAACTTTTTACAAAAAAAAATTAAATAAAATTACGTAGACTATTCTAATCTATTCTAATCTAATTTTATGAACATTTTAATCTAAAAATATTTAGATTCTACTAAATATTGAAAAATGTGACAGCCCGTTCCTAATTTGAAGATTTTATTAAATTCTAAATGAGTGAATTGACAAAAACGCCCTTAGTGGCGAGATTATCAACTTTCGTTGACCATCATTACATGATGAGTTTTTATTTTACCATATTCTCGAAGTACTTGATGGTACAAACGTATAGGTACAAGCGAAATCAAATTTAAAATTACGATGGAGATTTTACGGACTTACGAACATGAAACACGATTTGGTAATTTTACATTTTGCAGGAGATATTTTCTGTTTCTCTTTTATGGCCTTGTTTGTGAGCCAATGGGGCCCACACCCCACTCTCCTCCCTTACACCTGTGTCTCCCTTACTTTTTCCCCTATTTTTTTTTTCTTTTGAAACACTCTCATCTCTCTCTTAGGTGCAGTTTAGGATTGAGGTGCTTAAAAAAAAAGCTACTATGAAAAAAAGCTATGAGAATTTTTGGTGTTTGGTAAACTTTGAAAAACAGCTTTGTTTCAAAGTTTGGGGTGAAAAAAAGCCCAAAACCTGAAGCTGACAAGAAGCTGCAAATAGCAGCTTCCAAAAATAGCTTATTTTCAAAACACACGGGTGAACAGTGTAGGTTTAATGAAATATTGAATAACCCAAAACTGCCTTTAAATCCAATGGAAATCTGGCCCTTGGTCCCAGCATCCTTGACATAAATCTCGAAGTAGTAGACGAGCCGCTTGACCGGAGCTGGGTTGTTAGCCTGAACTACGCTGATGTCGTGGCCGTGAAGATTGACGCTGGTGTACTTGGCGGAGAGCTTATCAGGGGACATGATGATGAAGCCGCCGGAGCTGTTAATGGTGTTGAGCTCCGTGGGGGAGTCCTCGTCCTCGTCGGTCAGCCCCCGAGCAGAGGTGAGTCGCGATTGCTCGAGGAACCACAAGCTGAGATCTCGGTCGCTGTGGTGGTGGTTGGTACTGTTATTGGAGTTGGCGGTGCTCATTGTTTGAATCTGAAACCCTATAATTCAACTACCATTTGGTGGAAAATCAGAGCGGAACGAAGAAACCTAAACCCTTTTCGTCGATTTGGAGGACTGAAGGAGGGAGGAGAGCAAGAGATATGGGAATGATCTGTTACTGCCCGTAGAAGGAAAGAATCAAGAATCTTTATTTATTTATTTTTAACAAACAATGAGCTTAACCTCAATAGCACATCTAGTATTATACCCTTTTTGGTCATTTCACACAGTCATAGCTGTTTTACGAAAAAGTTTACCAAACACTATCATACTGCTTTTTTTTTTCCAAAAGCACTTTTACAAAAAAGTTTACCAAACACTTTGCTGCTTTATTTCACAGCCGCTTATTCTCACAGCACAGCCGCTTATTCTCACATCAGCTTTTTTTTCAAAGCACAGCAATACCAAACCAGCCTTTATTCTCCCCTATTATATTCACTCTCTCTCTATTCTGCAACTCTCTCATCTCTGTAAACACAGAGACTCGACAGCGGTCACCACTGCCTACCTCCTCTAGCGAGCTCCCCAGGAAATGCTAAACCACACCAGACCACCATGTCATATCCCCCTCTGTCTCTCTTGTGTTCTACACCTCTCTCCCTTAACCTCTCTGTTGTCTCTTTCACCCCTACAACACTGGACAGCCTTGAGGCTGAGATCATCATCATCGCCACTTCGGCGAACTCCAGACCACCACTGACTACCAGACTCTCTCCCACTTTCCTTACCTCATTCTCTCGTCCCTCCCTCTAAAAGTGCAGAGAAAACACATCATCGCCACATCAATTTTCCTGGCAAAACTCCAGTGTGCAACCATGGTAATTATCGAAATCCTTCAGATTTTTTCTTTCAAACATGATCTTGTACTGTTTGTAACCTCTATACTTGATTTGGAGGATAGTTGTTGCAGAAATGGCTAAGGGGGAGACTTCCCCAGATTTTTGGAAACCTAGAACTGTGACCACCTGGCCACTTTTAGGCCATTTTTCCGGCCAACACATACCATAAATAGGCCCCACTTTGGTATATTTTTGTTCCCTACATTTCTAGCTTCAAATTTGCTTTTGAATCATCAAGTTTGGTGAAGAATTAAGCACGGAATAAGCTCTCGAATTTAGTTAAAAAACCTGCAAAAATTTGAAAATTGCGATGACCGGCCCATGTGCAGCGCATGGCTGCCTGTGCAGCCACCTTGTGGCGGCGCGTGCGGTGATGTGTGGAGGAACTCCAGATTCCTCCTTAGGTTTCTCGACGTGCCGAATCCAAATCCGCCGATCGTTTTCTAAAATTCAACCATTTTAAAGTAGTTTCTTTATTAACCGTACTTTGTACAAAAACGTGTATATACGTTATATATTTATGTGAATGGTTTCGCTTCTAGGTGAAATGCATCGTAAGGATCTTTGATGTCTGGGGCTATTCACGTGTACATTCACATCGCACTGTAAGCTCACTTTAGATCCATTGTAGGTGCCAGTCTTGTCCTAGATTGCTATAAGTAATTAGGACTCATATGTGATGCGCATAGTGGAATATCTCTACATGAACTCGTGTGTCAGCATATGTTGATGAGAACTCGATATGATATGTTTATTCTGCGAGATATTGTAATTACTAGAAGTTATATGCTTATTTACGAATTGTTATGAAGTATTGCATTTTTTAGTTATTGCTGACTACGATAAGTACTTTCATGCTATACGTAGTATATTATATTTGGAAACTATACTTGTTTTACGGCGATGGGCTATTATGTTTTCAAAAAGGTTTCTACAAAACTTTATTTTTAAGCCACTCACCCTTATTTTTTCGCCCCACCAGGATTTAGTGCCAATGTTCGTGTCAACAAGGATCTCTAGGAAACACTGATATTGGAGCTACTTCTGATGGTATAGTTTTTATTCTAATTTTACTATACTGTACTTATGCTCTGACATCATGTGTGAAATGGATCAATTCCCACTCATATGTGCACTCTTACATTTAGGCACTTTTAGGTTTAAATTTATTTACATTTTTTCACATCACTACACTTTATGGCTTCATCACCTTCCTGTGTCGGCCAACAAAGCTAATTCGGAGTCCAAGTGGACATTTCAAATTGGGATGAAAAAATCACTAAGCCAACACCGTAAAATTGTGGAACACTATGAAGGAATATGAAACATATGAAATAATTTTTTTTAATTACTTTAACTGTTAGATTTAAATTTGGACTGTTAGATTCTTTGTTTTATCGTTGGATTTGACTATATTAGATCTTAACAGTTGGATTCAATGAATTTATAAATATAAAATTAAAAAGAATACACGTATATGATGGCCAGCCCCACTAACCCTGGAGGAATCTTAACCTAAATTTGTTCCATAAATGAGTTTTGGGTTAAAACTCATATTTGCCCTAAGAGTTAAAGCAAGTTGGTAAGTTTAGGACCTAAAATTTGAGTTTTACTACAAGGGTTGGAGTAGGTCTAATATGCAATGACAATTTCCACCTTATAAGGTTTAAAAAAAAGGAGTTTTAACGAAAAGCCCATAGTACTGTTCACTTTATTGAAAAACCACATTTTTACACTAAAAAGTCAAACATTATACTATTTACTTTACCCTTTATTTTGTCCTTATTGTTAAAACTCAAAATTTTCAAGTCATTTTCATTAGTTTTCCTTTAAAAAAAATACTAAATACATCCCAAATCACTTTTAACATGTATTTCACAAAATTATTTATCTTCTTTAACTCTCTAAACCATTCTCACTCTCCATTATAGAACAAAAGTCTAACTAATGAAACTACAAACACATTGATTGAAAAAAATTATTTTTGATGAATAGAACTTCGAAGCTTCGCCTTATTCAAAATGTACCGTTAGAGGTGAATAAAGGTTAAACTTCATTGGTGTCAAATTACAGCCCTCACCTTCTTTCTCAAAGAAGATAATGGTGATGCTTTTTCACATAATCATGTTCTAAAATCTGATGATCAGATAATGGTGAGGTGTATGAGTATGATATGTGATGCATAAAATATCATTTAGTGTGCATCTGAAGGGCAATACTTTATACTGTCGAATTAATATAATAAGCCTAATTAAAACACAAAAAGCCAAATATTCTGAAAGACGATTGAGTATTTAATTTTTTTATTTTTTGTCAGACGGTCAGCTTTTTAGTTTTTACCAATGGTATACTATTCTCTTTGGATTTTCTTTGTGAAAATCCGAAGAATCAATTAATTGAATTCGTTTATCGTACATCTTGTAATTAAAAATTATTTTGAATTTTAAATTTAAATTAAATATAAATAATACTTAATGAATGCGATACTTGCACTAAAATACAGGTGCCGTCAGTAAATGAAGTTCTTCTGAAAATAAAATATGCCATTATTAATTTTCAAATCGTCGTTTTGTTTCTTTCTTTTTCATTGTTATTGGAATGGTTGTTGGGTTAGTTTAATTTCGATATATGAATTTGGAGCTGAGTAGCATTGCCTCTGAAACAGCAGCTGGGTTCCTCTCGCTTTGCTCAAAGAAATGGCCAACGAAAGAGACGCAGCGGCAGGAAGCGGTGGCAGCCTAGTTTTTGCAGTTAACGGAGAGAGGTTTGAGCTCCCGACCGTTGATCCTTCAACCACTCTGCTCGCCTTCTTGCGTTCTGAGACGAGATTCAAAAGTGTCAAGCTCAGTTGCGGTGAAGGTCTCTCTCTCTCTCTCTCTCTCTTTCTAACTTTGACTGTGCTCTGCGTGTATGATCATGAATTTCTGTGGCTTTTTGATGTATATTATAAACATGATGATTGATGAGTATCATTTGTGGATTTTTGGACGACTTAGTCGTACGTACTATGAAAGAAAAATTGCGTGTTGCTATGAAAGAAAAATTATGAAAGAAAAATTGCGTGTTGCTAAAATTGCGTGTTGCTATGAAAGAAAAATTGCGTGTTGCATGCTATTGTTGAAAATGAGTAGAGCATAAATCTTGCATAGGCTTATAAGACCTACTTCAACTTTTAGAGTAGAACTTAAATTTTAGGTTCTAAATTTACTTCAACTTGCTCTAATTATATAGTGGGGCAAGTCCACCATATATGTATATTATTTTTGGTTTTATATTTATAAATTCATTGAATCCAACAGTTAAGATATAATTTGATGAAATCCAACCGTAAAAAAAATATCTAACGGTCCAAATTTAAATCCAATGGCTAAAGTAATTAAAAAAAAATTCTTTTATGTGTTTCATATTCTTTCATAGTGTTTCACGAGTTTCATGGTATTGGTGAGTGATTTTTTAATATTTGTCGGAATCTAAATATTTTTGGGTAAAAATGTTCATAAAATAAAATTAGAATAGTCTACATAATTTTTTTTTTCTTTTAAAAAGTTGTTTTAAGAAAAAAAATTAGTCTAAATTCATTCTTTAATGATCTGGGAAAATTTAACACAGAATGGTTGCAGAGAGAAAACTGTTTCTAGGCAAAAAATTTTAGGTCTTAGCCTAAGGGTTGGAGATGGTCTAAGAGGTTGGACTACTTTTTATATTGCCAATTGATTTTATGGTGGAACCTCAACTTTCTTTATGGTACTAGAGCTGATTGTCCCACGTGTGAAGCCAAACGACCACATGTGCTCCAGGTCACCCTGTTATGTTGTCCACGTGTTAGGCTCGAAAAATTCACCACATGTGAGGAGACGTGTTGAGAATGAGCTCTACGTCACCTCGTTATGTTGTTAAAACTCAAAATTTTCAAGTCATTTTCATTAGTTTTCCTTTAAAAAAAATACTAAATACATCCCAAATCACTTTTAACATGTATTTCACAAAATTATTTATCTTCTTTAACTCTCTAAACCATTCTCACTCTCCATTATAGAACAAAAGTCTAACTAATGAAACTACAAACACATTGATTGAAAAAAATTATTTTTGATGAATAGAACTTCGAAGCTTCGCCTTATTCAAAATGTACCGTTAGAGGTGGATAAAGGTTAAACTTCATTGGTGTCAAATTACAGCCCTCACCTTCTTTCTCAAAGAAGATAATGGTGATGCTTTTTCACATAATCATGTTCTAAAATCTGATGATCAGATAATGGTGAGGTGTATGAGTATGATATGTGATGCATTAAATATCATTTAGTGTGCATCTGAAGGGCAATACTTTATACTATCGAATTAATATAATAAGCCTAATTAAAACACAAAAAACCAAATATTCTGAAAGACGATTGAGTATTTAAATTTTTTTTTTTGTTAGACGGTCAGTTTTTTAGTTTTTACCAATGGTATACTATTCTCTTTGGATTTTCTTTGTGAAAATCCGAAGGATCAATTAATTGAATTCGTTTATCGTACATCGTGTAATTAAAAATTATTTTGAATTTTAAATTTAAAATTAAATATAAATAATACTTAATGAAAATTGGTCACACGATATATAATGAACGAACACGATTAAATGATTCCCGAATCTCAAAAAAAAATGGGAGAACATTCTCGTCCTTTACCAATCACAAAAAAGAAGGAAAGTCAATATTGTGATCTCCACTCCTAAATTCAAAGGACCATGTGAATGCGATACTTGCATTAAAATACAGGTGCCGTCAGTAAATGAAGTTCTTCTGAAAATAAAATATGCCGTTATTAATTGTCAAATCGTCGTTTTATTTCTTTCTTTTTCATTGTTATTGGAATGGTTGTTGGGTTAGTTTAATTTCGATATATGAATTTGGAGCTGAGTAGCATTGCCTCTGAAACAGCAGCTGGGTTCCTCTCGCTTTGCTCACAGAAATGGCCAGCGAAAGAGACGCAGCGGCAGGAAGCGGTGGCAGCCTAGTTTTTGCAGTTAACGGAGAGAGGTTTGAGCTCCCGACCGTTGATCCTTCAACCACTCTGCTCGCCTTCTTGCGTTCTGAGACGAGATTCAAAAGTGTCAAGCTCAGCTGCGGTGAAGGTCTCTCTCTCTCTCTAACTTTGACTGTGCTCTGCGTGTATGATCATGAATTTCTGTGGCTTTTTGATGTATATTATAAACATGATGATTGATGAGTATCATTTGTGGATTTTTGGACGACTTAGTCGTACGTACTACGAAAGAAAAATTGCGTGTTGCATACTATTGTTGAAAATGAGTAGAAGCATAAATCTTGCATAGGCTTACAAGACCTACTTCAACTTTTAGAGTAGAACTTAAATTTTAGGTTCTAAATTTACTTCAACTTGCTCTAATCATTGAGACAAATATAAGTTAAAACTCAAAACTCATTTCTGGGCCAAATTTAGCCCAGGATTCCCCTTGGGTTAGTGGGGCTAGTCCATCATATATGTATATTATTTTTGGTTTTATATTTATAAATTCATTGAATCCAACAGTTAAGATATAATTTGATGAAATCCAACCGTAAAAAAAATATCTAACGGTCCAAATTTAAATCCAATAGCTAAAGTAATTAAAAAAAAAAATTCTTTTATGTGTTTCATATTCTTTCATAGTGTTTCACGAGTTTCATGGTGTCCGTTAGTGATTTTTCAATATTTGTCGGAATCTAAATATTTTTAGGTTAAAATGTTCATAAAATAAAATTAGAATAGTCTACATAATTTTTTTTCTTTTAAAAAGTTGCTTTAAGAAAAAAAATTAGCCTAAATTCATTTTTTAATGATCTGGGAAAATTTAACCCAGAATGGTTGCAGAGAAAAAACTGTTTCTGGGCAAAAAAATTTAGGTCTTAGCCTAAGGGTTGGAGATGGTCTAAGAGGTTGGACTACTCTCCATATTGCCAATTGGTTTTATGGTGGAACCTCAACTTTCTTTTATGGTACTAGAGCAGGTTGTCCCACGTGTGAAGTCAAACGACCACATGTACTCCAGGTCACCCTGTTATGTTGTCTACGTGTTAGGCTTGAAAAATTCACCACACGTGAGGAGGCGTGTTGAGAATGAGCTCCACGTCACCTCGTTATGTTGTCCACGTGTTTGGTTTGAAAATTTTTTGCCACACATGAGGTGCGTGTATTGAGAATGAGTCCCACATTGATGGGAGAATGGACCTTGTATGAGCTTATTAGAGGTTAGACTACTCCCTATATTGCCAATTGGTTTGATGGTAGAATCTCAACTTTTTTCAATTATGATCAGACTTTGGGTTTCTCATATAAAGAATTCTGAATTTTTGGTTTACCATCCTGAACAATTGTTGCAAAATAAAGTAATTCAGAAAACGAAACTAGTACTCACCTCGCTTCCGAGGTGACCAACTGATGCTTAAAGAGGTTTCTTTTTGTGACGTAATGTCTGTAATTTAAGGTGTTTTTTCTGCAGTGATCATATTAAATGAGATTGTAGTTTGGGTTTCAAAATTTTCAAGGAAAACTACGTCTTACTGTAAGTCTTTGGACACGTTTTATGATATGCACTTATAAAAATCGGGTGCAGGTGGTTGCGGTGCTTGTGTTGTGCTACTGTCCAAGTACGACCCTGTTGTCGACGAAGTGAAAGATTTTACTGCAAGTTCATGTCTCACTCTGCTTTGCAGTATAAATGGATGTTCAATTACAACATCCGAAGGCCTTGGAAATATCAAAGACGGGTTCCACCCAATTCACCAAAGGATTGCTGGTTTCCATGCTTCTCAATGCGGCTTTTGTACTCCTGGCATGTGTGTTTCACTCTTTGGAGCTCTTGTCAATGCTGAAAAGGCGAATAGACCTGATCCCCCTCCTGGGTTCTCCAAGCTTTCTGTTTCCGAAGCTGAAAAGTCTATTGCAGGTAACCTCTGTCGATGTACTGGGTATCGACCAATTGTTGATGCCTGCAAGAGTTTCGCATCTGATGTTGACATGGAGGATTTGGGGTTCAACTCCTTTTGGAAAAAGGGAGATAGTAAGGAAGTAAAAGTAAAGAGTTTGCCTCTATATAACCGTAATGGTGACATCTGCACATTTCCGGACTTCTTAAAAAAAGAAATTTGTTCTTCCATGTCTTTGGATCCTACGAGATATGGTTGGTACAATCCTCTTAGAGTTGAGGAGCTTCAAAACTTATTGAAAGATAATGATTTTGATAATGCAAACGAGATGAAATTAGTTGTTGGAAACACAGGGGCGGGCTATTACAAGGAGCTAAAGCGCTATGACAGATACATTGATCTCAGATGTGTTCCTGAATTATCAATGGTTAAGAAGGATCCTGTGGGGGTTGAGTTCGGAGCAACTGTAACAATCTCTAAAGTTATTGAGTCTCTGAAGAAGAAAGATAGCGGTGGATCTCCATCAAGAGGTGGTGATGTGTCAAAAAAAATTGCCAATCATATGGAGAAAATTGCTTCAGGGTTCATCAGAAATACAGGTAGTATAGGAGGGAATTTGGTGATGGCACAGAGAAAATGTTTTCCTTCAGATATTGCTACAATACTTCTTGCTGTGGATTCAGAGGTAGATATAATGAATGGTGCTAGATCTGAAACGGTTATGTTAGAGGATTTTCTGAAAAGGCCTCCATTGGATCCGAAAAGTGTACTTTTAAGTGTTAAAATCCCAAATTGGGAAGCAGTTAGAAAAGTTTCTCCAGAAACCAACACCATGTTGCTTTTTGAAACCTATCGAGCTGCACCAAGACCCCTAGGAAGGGCATTAGCTTATTTAAATGCTGCCTTCCTAGCAGAGGTTTCGTTTGGTAAGATTTCCAATGCAATTATGGTGGATCATTGTCGTCTGGCATTTGGTGCTTATGGAACTAAACATGCAATTAGAGCAAGAAAGGTTGAGGAATTTTTAACTGGAAAAGTGCTGAGTCCTGGTGTTCTATATGACGCTATTAAATTAGTTAGGGATGTTCTGGTTCCTGAAGAAGGAACTACGAGCCCTGCTTACAGGTCAAGCTTGGCTGCTGGTTTTCTTTTCGAGTTCTTTAGCCCCTTAATTGACAGTGAAAGTTGCAAAGGATTCTTGGGAAATACTTTGTTGGCCGATGCTTCCAAGTTAGAAAGGAACAAAGGTGCTAGCGATAAGATGAGAACTGTTCTGTCATCTGGTAAACAGGTGATTGAATTAAGTACAGAGTATGATCCGGTTGGTAAACCAATTACAAAATCTGGAGGTCTCATTCAAGCTTCAGGTTAGTTGTCCTTCACATACATGATTATACGGATGTCTACTTACTAAGCATCCTTTTATTTTTTTTTATGGTGGTGGGAGGGAGGGCTAGCACACTACAGCCCGAACAAACTAAAAAAAAACAACCTAACTCTAAAAACTGCTAACGAACCAAGAGATAGCAGCTTTCCAATAGCTCCCACGAAATCTTCAAAAATCCTTCTATTCCTCTTCATCCAAACCACCCAAAACAAAGTGAGGATCATAGTGCCCCACATAACCCTAGCTTTCTTTCCCTTCCAAACCATAGTGTGAGCCCCACATAAACTTAGCTTTCTCTCCTTCCCAAACCAGCTTCAGCCAAGAGACCCAAGTTAAACAAAGTGAGGATCATTGTCTCTTTTTTTTGGTATTGGACTTAGTTTGCAGGCCTGTTCTCTGCTCCAAAATGTTCCCTTTTATCTAGTTGAGAAAATTGTAGTATGATTTATTCGTTAACAATTATGTTTAGGATTAGAATGACTGGTTCTTGTTTTTTTCCCGCGGGTCGGTCATGTTAAATACCTAAAAGTAGTGGGAGTTTGAATTATATACTTATGATATGCTTATAGAAAGGTCTCATTTTCTATCTTTTGAGATCATTCTTTTATATAAGAAACAAAATCTTAATGAAACCAAAATTGACAGAATACAAAGTGATGACCAGTTGTGGGCAATTTGTTCACCTCTATATAGTATTGTGTCCTCCCACTGTCTCTCACTCTTTTGCTCTCTTGCTTTCCCTGGAGAGAGAGAGAGAGAGAGAGAGAGAGAGAGATATTATATATATAAAATTTCTTAACAGATCATGTTTCAAATGATTCTCTTTGTTTCTTTATGGCACCAAGCTTTCGTTGACCTATTGTCCTTTTTTGTTTGAATTTGTTTTGTTTCCTCGTTTGTAATAGTTATTGACTGTTTTCACAAAACAGTGGGTGTGCTACAACTTCAGTGTTAATTGTTTCTTCTATAATTCTTTTGTTTCAACTGACTATGTATCTTTTCCATTTTTTTATGTCTTCTTGAGTGCTTCTAGCTCGTGACACAAAAGTACTTATCTCATTCATGACCATCAATTTGTAGGTGAGGCAGTCTATGTAGACGACATTCCATCTCCGAAAAATTGCTTACATGGAGCGTTCATTTATAGTACAAAGCCTTTGGCTAGAGTGAAGGGAATAAAACTTGAACCTAAATCACATCCAGGAGTTACTGCACTGATATCTTTCAAAGATATTCCCAAGTCTGGGGAGAACATTGGGTCTAAGACTTTTCTTGGTACAGAACCTCTGTTTGCTAATGATCTTACAGAATGGGCTGGTCAGCGTCTTGCTTTCGTGGTAATTCAACGATCTTGTGATTATATCTAACGATCTTAGTTGGGATGAATGCCAATCGTTATCCGTAATTGTAGACTATACACATAATTTTTCTGCTTTCTTTGGATGTGTGTCAGTTTACTCATCAAAAGAAAGTTTTGTAGGTAGCAGATACGCAGAAACAGGCAGATATGGCTACAAACTTTGCGGTGGTTGATTATAACATGGAAGATGTAGATCCACCTATCTTATCAGTCGAAGACGCAGTTAAGAGAGCAAGTTTTTTTGAGGTCCCTCCTTTCTTGTATCCGAAACAGGTCGGTGACATATCAAATGGAATGGCTGCAGCTGATCACAAGATTATTTCTGCTGAGGTACTTGAAATCAATACGACATTCTTTCTTTGTTTCCCGGTCTCCTTCCCACACTAATGTTCTGCCCTTTTTGTACTTTTCTATGTTCCAGTAATTTGGATTTTGGATATTCAACTTTGTTCCTTGGGTTTATTTATATACATAGAAAGGACTTGTGAAATGGGAGAAAATACGAGTATAAGAGAATGTTGGCTTGGTTTTCAAGTAGAACCGCCCACTAACTTACAAATCCATGCATATCTTGCTTTCAGATCAAACTTGGTTCACAATACTATTTCTACATGGAGACACAAACAGCCCTTGCTGTACCAGATGAAGACAACTGCATGGTGGTTTACACTTCAAGTCAAATGCCTGAGTCTATACACTCTACAATTGCAAAATGTCTTGGTATTCCTGAAAATAATGTTCGTGTAATTACAAGAAGGGTCGGAGGGGGCTTCGGTGGAAAGGCCATGCAATCAATGCCTGTGAGTATAATACCTACATAAATCTCTATATTCCTTCTTTATTACTGTCTATCTAATCGTGGACGAGATTGTCCGTTTAACTGTAGATTAAGCACTTGTTATCACAGTGAACATGAATATAATATTTCTGTTAGACAATGAATGGAACCCAAAAACTTAAGCTGCTAGGAAGCGGGGCAACATTGGGTATTAAGCTAACATTCTGCGTACATACAAAATGATATTTGATTCTGACCCATATAAGTTTTTTACCAGCGTACCAATAAAACTTGATCATGGTGTCAAGTGGGAGATCTTAGGATCCTGCAACTACAACCTCCCTGCGAATGTTGAACTCTGTATGATTTTAAAATGATCAATAACGTTCATGTTAAAAAAATTTTGTTGAATATAATGTCTTGGCTCTCTAGTGGTGCAGAGAGGTGTACACGTGAGGCGAAGTTTTAGAAAATAAAGCAATAGTTAGCATTTAGTGTCGGTCCTGGGAATAGTGGTAAATCAAATTGTTCTATGTGCTACTAGAGTTGGAGACCTTCGATGCATATCATTCTGATCATACTACTCTAAACCTCCAACATTTTTTTAAAATTTCAGATCTTGAGCTTTCTAGTGGTGGGGAGAGGGTGTTGTGTTCTTTAGCGGTGGTGAGAGGCCTACTAGAATATAAATGATTGCTGGTGTGTATCCTGATAAATTACGATTCTTCAGGATCAATAGTAAACCAATAAACTTTATCTTACACATGCGTGCAGACACCAGACACACTCACACACACATAATATATACGTGCATATATATATATATATATATCACTTGCTATGTTTATGGTTTTTTCAGTACTTGATTCCCAATGCTCAATAGAATATAAAGCTGCTGCAATTCTGATGTTTAGGTCGCAACTGCATGTGCTCTTGCAGCACACAAATTACATAGACCTGTACGGATATATCTCAATCGCAAGACTGATATGATAATGGCTGGAGGAAGGCATCCCATGAAGATAACTTACAGTGTGGGATTCAAGTCTGATGGGAAGATTACAGCTTTAGAACTTGAGATATTGATAAATGCAGGGATTTTCATAGACTTTAGTCCATTATTGCCATTAAGTATTGTGACTGCACTTAAGAAGTATGACTGGGGTGCTCTGGCTTTCGATATCAAGGTGTGCAAAACAAACACTCCAAGTAGGTCTGCTATGCGGGCCCCTGGGGAGGTGCAGGGGTCATTTATCGCTGAAGCTGTAATTGAACATGTAGCATCCATCCTTTCTATAGAAGTAGATTCTGTGAGAAGCGTTAATCTTCACACATCTCACAGCCTTGATTTGTTTTACAAGCAGAGCGCTGGTGAACCCCTGGAGTATACTTTACCATTGATATGGAACAAGTTGTCCATGTCTTCAAGCTTTAACCCAAGGACTGAGATTGTAAAAGAATTTAATAGGTGTAATAAATGGCAGAAAAGAGGAATTTCTCGAGTACCAATATTGTATGAAGTGTCATTGAGGCCAACTCCGGGAAAAGTAGGCATTTTAAGTGATGGGTCTGTTGTTGTTGAAGTTGGAGGAATTGAACTGGGTCAGGGGCTCTGGACGAAGGTAAAACAGGTGACAGCTTTTGCTCTTGGTTCGATTCATTGTGATGGTAGTGGAGATTTCTTGGATAAAATACGGGTGGTGCAATCAGATACATTGAGCTTAATTCAAGGGGGAATGACTGCTGGGAGTACTACATCTGAGACAAGCTGTGAGGCAGTTAGACTTTGCTGCAATATTTTGGTTGAGAGGTTAGCAACTCTCAAGGGGAGATTGAAGGAGCAAATGGGCTCTATTAACTGGGAGACTCTTATTCAGCAGGTATTCTATTTGGATTGAGGGGAGGGCTTATTTTCACTTGTGTGCTCCTTTGTTGGAATGCATACCATAATAGCATGTTATTTGCAGTCTCCCAGAGGAGTGCTGGGAGCAAAAATAGCAATCACCATGAAATTATTGATGCATCATTTTATTCTTTTGAAAAATTTAATTAACTTATTGATTTGTTTCAAATCCATGCCATGGCGCTCCAATAGTTCACACACTGAATCTGGAAGAACCCAAGAAACTCAACCCCAGACAGAATAATTGACATTGAGCCACAAATTTCTTATGAGTACAAATAAAACTTATTGAGTGATCAAACTTTTAAGCTTGCCCTACATCCCAGTGGCTTCTCCTTATAGCTTTTGAAGGCCACTGAAACACCAAACTCTCTCCAAGAAATATATATAAAACATAAATAAAAATCAAATAAAAAAATAAATAAAACTCTCTTTAACTTGCATTTTTCTTTATTCCCAAATTTAATGTAGTTGTTGCAGTTTATATTTCTTCTGTCAAAATGCAGGCATCCTTGCAAGATGTGAACTTATCAGCAAGTTCTTATTATGTCCCTGATTCTGCTTCGATGGCATACCTTAACTATGGTGCTGCTGTGAGTGAGGCAAGTTTGTGTTGACCGTCTTACTCCTTCATTTTCATTCATGTGTATTGTTGAATTTTCAGCAAGATGCAGATTTACACAATGCAGAGCAAATCATAGTGCAACGTCACAGTCATAGAGACCAGTTTTTTCTCATTTAAAATTTATAGATTAATAACATTGAAACTACTTGATCACAGGTGGAGGTAAACGTTCTGACTGGACAAACCACAATTCTGCGATCGGATATTATCTACGATTGTGGTCAGAGTCTCAACCCTGCTGTGGATTTAGGACAGGTTAGCATGATTGAACTTGCTACTCAGATTTTTATAATGTTTACCTACATTTTTTTATTTTTTGCATTTTCTTTTAATTAAGCTCTACCTAGATTTTGTTTTTTGCATTGCTAATCAGTAGGTTCTGCCTTGGAGAATTTTTCAAATTCCATAGTAAGAAAAAGTTAGTAGTTCGGTTTATTTTATAAATTTTTAGGTACTTTCGTTATTTAACGTCTTTAGGCTTTCTCTATTCGAAGAATTGTAGCATTTTCATCATCTAGTCATCTTTGGAATAAGAATCCTAGTTTTCAACTTTTCTACAATCTGTTAAGATCCATAATGCCAGTTCACTGGGACGTAGTTAATGTGGTTTAGTTAAGTTTGACATTACATGTTTCTTGCAGATTGAAGGTGCTTTTGTTCAAGGTATTGGGTTTTTCATGCTTGAAGAATACTCGGAAAACTCTGATGGGATGGTGATTTCAGAAGGTACATGGACATATAAGATTCCTACGGTGGACACCATACCCAAACAGTTCAATGTTGAAGTATTGAACAGTGGGCATCATAAAAAACACGTGCTCTCTTCAAAAGGTCTGCCATGCCGTGCCTTGCATACTTCTACTTATCCCAACTACAACTGATACCAGAAAAGTATTTTGTGTGATTAAAAGTAGGCGAATTTTGAAAAAATTGAGATTATGTTATTACAAAAATTGAAAAGTCGAAAATTTTGTGTTATTACATAAATTGGAAAGCTGAAAATTTTATGTTAGTATGAACATTTCAATTAAAGAAGAGCATGTTTCATCATAAAATTTGAAAAGTGTTGTGTGAAACTCACACATTGAAAATCTTTTGCGCAGCTTCTGGTGAGCCACCATTACTTCTTGCGGTTTCTGTTCACTGCGCTACAAGGGCTGCCATTAAAGAATCAAGAAAACAGCTTCTTCAGTGGGGCGGCCTAGATGGATCGGCATCAATATTCCAGTTAGATGTTCCCGCTACCATGCCTGTTGTGAAGGAGCTGTGTGGACTGGAAGCTGTGGAGAGGTACTTGGAATGGATTGTAGGCAGAGAATAAACGTACGTATGGCTGGAAGGCATGATCATGCTAGTTAATTTGTCCATCACAGCCAAAGAACCTAAAATGTGAGTCAATCGCCATCACTTGATCTCAATAAGGATACGAATATAGGTTTTTCAACAGATTTTAGGTCTGTTTATAGTGCAAAACCAATAAAAAAAGGAGAATTGGCAATAGATGAACCATTCCATCTCACGTTACTTGTGTTTAAGTTCGTTGTCCAGTTTTTGAACAGTACTGTTGAATAAGCTTTTATCTGTAAGACAACTAAATACGAACCATCTTATTATACCTTTTGTGTTTGCAACTTGTATTGAGACAAATTGTGTTAGACCAAGGTTCATTCGACCAGAGAATGGTTCGTAATCTCGGAGATTGGGTGTTTTCTCTCTATATTTATATTTGAGGAAAATTCTATGCAGTGAGAGTGTTTAGAATTGGGGTCATTATTGTTCAAACACTCACCCCCAATAGTGCTGAATTAAACCCCTATACCGTGAAATGGTGTACTAGGTTGGTGAAGGAACCCGGTAAGCTGCAGAGAATAACAATAATAGTAAAACATAAGAGCATTTGGGCTCCTTAAATGAGCTCCTAGCTATAATTTAGGGAGGATCTCAAAATAATCAACTCTATTCATGCTCTGTATCCACCTCTTAGGGATGCCTAGGAGCTAGGCGGTTGACCACTGCAACAATTATCCCTATCTATTTATAAAAATAAGAAAGAGCGCCTAGATCTTCCTAGATGCCTGTCCAGTTACCTAAGCTGCCTAGCCCGCCTTGGCGAGCATACATTTTATCTTTTCAATAAATTGTAGGAGACTTGTTAGATACTTGTATAAACACTCATTATATCCTTGTTCCCCATATTTACAACATGATCTAGTACTTTATAATTCATATATTGTTGGAAATAAAATAGAGAGTAAGAGAGAATACAAAGAGACAAGTGAGCAAGTTGAGGAGAAATCAAAGTCTGTCTCCTTTCTCATTAGAGTGCCTATTTATTGGCGTAAGATTTACATAGAAAGGTGTTCAACTATTAAGATATTACATATTTGACCCAGAATTGAACAACATAATAAATATTGTTAATAACACTCCCCTTGGGTGTTCACCAATCAATGGTAGTTGCCTTGACAAACCTTACTTGGAAAACCCAGTGGGAAAACACCTAAGCAAACTAGAAATCAGGCACCACGATTATGAAATATTGGTATGGTGTTGGACATGTATAATGTTGCCTCGCTAAAATCTTGATAGGACAACCCAATGGGATAAAAATTTGGTTGAAGGGAAAAAGAGCACAACACGCTTATATGTCTATTATAGCATATTGTCGAAGCCTCCGTCTAATGAATAACTCCGGCGAATACACGCCATATACACAAATCGCTTTATAGACTCTCCAAAAGTTCTACCATAACTCTTAACTCTTTCAAGAATATGTTGCAACAATAATTTTAGTTCAAACGAACAAAAGTACTCATTGAGGTAATATAAGCCAAATTTATCTAGAATAGGTATTGAGTACATATTTTGAGCTTTATGCTCTTAAATTGAAATCTTTGGATACAAATTTTATGGCATTTTCATACTTTAAGAAATGGCTTTGAGAGATAAATTCTCAAGTGGTTAGTATGCAATCTCCACATGGCATAAGTCTCACATCTAAAGTAACATTGTACTTATAGAAATATGGCTACATATATGATGACAAAAAAATGCTCATATCTATTATGAAGCATCATGCCATACTAGTGAGTTTATTTCACTAATTACAAACACCCAAGAATAATTTGGTGTATATATTACAGGTTTCTTATTCCACGTTTTTCAATAGCTCAAAAAATTGGTGACACACCCCGACCCTGATATCGAGCAAACACCAAAATCGTGGTGTGATGGTCATCACCCAAATGGGTGATGAAGCCATGATATGCATGAAATCTACCGAAATTTGGAAGAACTTTCCCTAAAATAGGGATAAACTCAAATTGAGACACTTACAGTAACGACATTAATTTCAACATATTCCTGGAGTGCCACACTTTATTAGGTATCCGACCCTCTATCACATGCATGAGAATGGGTTCAAAGCATATTTAACCAAACAAAAATCCTATGAATATATTGAGTAAATAACATACACGGTGGAATATGTCAGGGTTGCTAGAAAGTACCTTGACACCGAATGTGATCACTGCTACATCTACTGAATCTTGAGAGGGTGAAAAACATTCAAATGTGAATGGACGAAAAAAAACAAAGTTTTATAAAACATTTTATTTTTTAAACATACAAACCCCATGTTTTGAAAACACATATAATTTCTGAAAAGCTAAGCATGCCATACAACTAAAAACTGATATATATACTTGTATATAATGAGAGCTGGTGAGTACATACATACAGAGCTGATAATTACTAATGGCATGGCATACAATGTCATTCACTAGTTGTAAAGGAAGCTGGATAATATAATCATGTCATTGCCCTGTAATCTTGAGGCAATGACAAGTTGAGAATATAATTGTGAAATCATGTCATTAGTAGGTAATCTCGAGGTAATGACAAACTAAGAATATAATCATATAATCATGTTATTACCGAGTAGTATCAAAGTAATGACGAGCTGGGAGAATAAATATAGTACCCCAATGCACGTGTAAGATGGTATATAAAATTCCATTAACTGTAGCTAATGAAACTTAGAAATATACTCATGTCATTGCCAAGTAATCTTGATGTTGTGGAAGTAGTACAATACTCTAAGTCTATATGATGTATGTGTGCCACAAGATAAGTATTGATAAATAAATAACCATCACGAAGTCGTCATCGTCATAAATCATGATCATGTATCATGAGTCTGATAGTAAACCATCGAAATATGGCTAACTCATAAATCATAAATTAGAGTAAAAAACATAACTCTGAAGATATATCATGAAATTAGTGTAATCGGTAAAATATAACTAAAATTCATTTTTATCTAGGCATGCTTAGAATTTAGATAAGTAAAACATTTCTGAAATAACAGTCCACTCACAAATCATTAACGAAGTCCTCTTCTAGTTGGGTTTGTCCTCTAGGGCCTCTGGAACTGCTCGCATTTAAGCATATAAAATGACCTATTAGCGAAGAGTAATGCTATTCATACTATATTTTTATACCACATTTATATACCACCTTAGGTGGCATTTGATATGGACATACACATCATTTGAAAAATTTGCAAAACCCAAAGAAATGAAGAAGAAGGACTCCTCGTATACCACAATCATCATTTAATTAACTATTTTTTTCTTAATTATTAGTTTATTAAATAATAAACTAAATTTAAAAATCTGATTAATTTAAATGATGTGGTTGTCCACATCAAATGCCACCTAAGGTAGTATGAAAATATGGTACAAAAATATGGTATGAATAGCATTACTCATTAGCAAAACACATTTTAAATAATTGAATTTGGAAAGACATTGTGCGAATTCAGAATCAACGGTCGCCAGAAAACCAGTTAGATTATGAAAACATTCTTCGAAAAAGTTCAAAGAACTTTCCTGGCTTCGTTCTCACTCAAATCTCAAACAAATCATGGGAGCCATATGAAAAATTCATCTACCCAACGAGACAAACACAAAGACAATGGTTTTAGGGCTTACCTCCATCGGAAAAGGCAGGAAACTCGCCAGAAAAAATGACTCGTGGTGGAGTTCTGTGAAACAGCGTCCAAGCTTTGTATTTTAGGAAACGGAAACCACTATTGAACTCATGGTGACGAGAGGAAGGTGATGGTGGTCTTGAAAGTTTGTTTTATCGAAGATTTTAAGGTGGTGGTTGTGTGGGTGTCGTCAGGAAGAAGAAAATCGAGGGAAAGGGAATTCTCCAGAGCAGTCAAGGAAGAGAGAATGAAAAGAAAGATTCACCCATGGATACCATTAAGCCTTCAAAGCAATGAAAATTTTCCGAAACAGATCAAGTTTACAAAAATGTAATTCGTTTTAAGTCCAAATCTCATTCCGCTTGTGCTCATGCGTTCGTAGAGACAAATACTATTCAAATATACTAATTACTACTTCATACATGTCACAAAAAATAAAGTCAACAAAAGTCAACACGAACCCTTCTAGGGGTTTTTGGTAATTTCACATTAACAAGGACAAACTACAGGAAAATTAGGAACGAATTGTAACAAATGGAATTTGCATCTTTCTAATTAGGCCAACCCTTTTGCAATTTTTCAACATTTAATGGTAAAACATGATTGAATAGCCCTTGGTTGACACACCTCAACTCGGAATGTCCACTTAGACTCCGAATTAAGATGTGTTGGCCGACACAGAAATGTGACAAAGCCAAAAAGTGTAGTGAGGTGGAAAATATGAGTAAATTTAAACCTAAAAGTGACTAAATGCAAGAGTGTACATGTCAGTGGGATTGAACCCATTTCACATGTGATGTTAAAGTATAAGCAAAGTATAGTAAAAGCAAGATAAGAATTATACCATCACTGTCCTATACCAACATTTTCCAAGAATCCTCAACGGCACAAAAGCTCTACCACCAAAACCTAGAAGGGCGAAAAGAAAGGGTGAGTGGGCCTAAAAATAAAACTTTGTAAAACCTTTTCGGAAACATAATAACCCATTGCCGTAAAATAAGTATAGTTTCAAAAGATAACATACTATGTATAGTATGAAAATACTTACTGTAGCCAGCAATATCTCAAGAATGCAATACTTCACAATATTTCGTAAATAAACACATAACGTCTGGTAATCACAATATCTCGCATAAAAAAACATATCATATTGAGTGCTCATCAACGTATGCTGACACACGAGCTCATGCAGGCATATTCTAACATGAACAGGACTGGGTATAATAATGATAATGATTTATGCTTTAGTACTACAATCACGTGGAGACTAACACTAGGTGCATCAGATACGAGTCCTAATTACCTATAGCAATCTAGGATAGGACTAGCACCTACAATAGATCCAAAGTGAACATGCGATGCGATGTGAACATACAGTATGATGCAAGTACTAATACCAGTGTAGTACACGATAAGCAGATAACGTAAATACGATCATGCAATGGTGAATCTATAATTCTAGCCAATAAAATACTATTCATGACCCCAACTATAATTAAGGCATCCTACTATAGGGCGTATACCTATGCATCCCGCAGGATTATTTCATAATTCCAATCAATACGACATTTCTTATAAACGTTAATTTACTTATGGCATCACGTAAAAAATTCATTATTAAG